ACCAATAGATGGGGAGCCTGCCCAATTGGAGGGGGCGGCAGCCTCAAGTGTAGAGGCGGCAGGGCTTGCAGCAGGAGGGTAGGACGAGGGAGGGAGGGAAGGAAGGAGACAAGGAGGGAAGGACGGCAGAGGGTGGGAGAGCCCTTGTTTTGGGGGCTGGGATCAGGTCTGGCAGCTGGGGAGTCAAGGGAGCGCTGGTGGTGAGGGGGATGAGGATGGGGATGGGGATGGGGATGGAGATGGAGATGCAGATGAGAATGAGGCTGGGGATGAAGAGGGGGCGAGAGTTCTCTCCCTGCACCAAGAAGTCACCTCAGACTAGTGAGGCTGACATTCAAGTCATCTAAAGGGGAGACAGCGGACACTAGAGAAGGGGCGTGGAAAGAGAGCCTCCATGAGAACATGAGAATGCCACTCAAAACAAAGAAATGGAAAAGAGCCTTCTGGGAGGCTGAATTTATTGCTCCTTTCCATATAGGCTCTTAAAAGGAGGGGGAAAAAATAAGGAGAGATGAAGACTAAGGAAAGGTGTGGCAGGAAGGTGAGATAAGACTGAATGATGGATTTATACAGGCGTCTGGAACTTAATTGGGGGGCGGGGAGAGGTCCTATAGCCGCAAGAGCATATGACTTGGCAAGAAATGGAGAGCCCCTGAGAGCTCAGCAGGAAAGGTAGTTGTAGGCAACAGAGAATCCATGCGTGCCATATTCTTCTGTTGTCAGTCAACCAACCAACCAATCAACAACCATTAAGCATTTATTGTGTGCCAGGTACTGCTCTAGGTGATGTAGATACAAGTACAAAGAATGAAACGTTCCCTACTTTCCATGAGCAAGTAATTTTTTTATATGTACAGCATAAATACAAATACATTCAAAGTCACTAAATATAAAGTAATTTGGGAGGTAAGGCAGTAGCAGTTGGGAGTCAGCTGTCAGAAAAGGTTTTATGCAGAAGGTAGCGTCTGAGCTGAGTTTTAAAGACAGGGACAGGTAAGGAGGAAGCATCTTTTAGGTATGCAGCATGGTCAATGCAAAGGTGCTGAGGGAGAAGATGGAATGTCATGAGTGAAAAGCAGAAAGAAGACCAAATTGGCTGGATTGCATTACTGTCAGAATTGCTACTGAAACCCCTATCTTCTGACTCTGAGAGCATCTTTCTTCCCACTACACCAAGTGCTGTGTGATAGCTTCTTGAAAAGCTGAGGAGCCCTGGGGCTCAAAGCATCAATTCCCTTTTTTATTTTGTCTAAGATCCATTGGGCTGGGGACAAGAAACAGTCTAAAGGGTCATCCATAGATTTCACAGGCCATCCATTCCCAATTCCTGATAATAAGCATCCAAGTCGCATCCTGATTATCATTTAGCAAAAGGGGAACTACAAACCTTTCCTAAGCTACCTTGCAAGGAGGGCATCTTCTGTGTTGGGCTCTGGGATTAAAGAAGGTGTAAGACTCAGCCCCTGTCCTAGAGGCATCTATGGCTTTGTTAAGAAAGCTAAGGATACTCTGAGTGGAATGGGGGAAGAAAATATTAGGGAAAGCAGCTGAGGCTTTCCCCCAGAGCCACCCAAAATTTAGGGGTTACTGACAGTGCTTGCTTGCCTCTCGTCTCGTTAGTAAGAATAATTAATTAAAATAGGATGCTACCAGGTAAATATTTCTTGCCTTTGGCTGTATCCCAGGTGAACATCTCTGCAGCCTGCTCCCCTCTCCTATGGGCCTCCAGGCAAATTCCTGGAATCTTTTTTTCCTCTGTCCCTGCATGGGATGGTACCCCTGGCTTTATCATCCTTTCCTCCAAGAGAACTGGCCTTGCAATAAATTTTCATTTGGGATTTAGGGCTTAGAATGGTATCCACCCTTTCAGACAACCCGTGCCAAGAACAGGAGCCTCCCACATTCTGCACAAGGCAATGAAACTAATAACCTTCAAATGAGGTAGTTGAAGGGCAGAGACAGTTAACTTTAATACTTTGATTTATAAGCATTAGTTCCCCATTGCATTTTCTTAGTCTTTTCTTGGATGATCTATGATTTCATCCAAATGAATATTTCTTTTCCAACAGCGCAGATGGCAAACCATCCACGCTGTCATCCTGTATAGCTATTGTCCATGTCATTCCATAAATCCTCCATGGAGGAAGGGAAGAGCACGAACAAGAGAATATGGGTACTGTCCACTGGTTATACTGAATTCTTATTACATGTCTTTCTTGCCTTTTTGTTATTATTTTCAAATATCTCCAAGGAGCTATCCTAGATGCTTCTTTTGGCTTGCAATTTTTCATTAGCAACATGTTGCTGCCCACTCATGCTCACCATGCACCTCTCCATTACACTCTGGTTGGCTTGCGACTAATTCTTCAGACTGTGGTGTATAATGACTCATAGGCATATAGGATAACTAGAAGATATTAATTTTAAAAAGCCTATTTCAGGAAGAAGCTTGGGGTCATTAAGAGCACCTTACAATTTCTCAAATGTGATACAGTCTGATCTAAAGAATTCTGGGTCCAATTCATGGTCTATCTGCTTTCAGTCAACTAGTCTGCAACCAACAAGCATTTCTTGAATGCCTATGTACCAGGTACTGTGGCAAAGCACTGGGACTACAAAAGAAAATTAAGCAGCCCCTGCCCTGAAGAAATTTATACTCCATTTGGGGGATGAGGATGAAACATAAGTATATGCAAAAGAAATAAAGTATGATGAAGGGTGGCAGGGGTGGGGAGGTTGGTGGTCAAAAAGGCCTCATATAGGAGGTGGGGCATGAGCTGAGCTTTGAAGGAAATTAGGTATTCTAAGATGTGTGGCAGCTAGGTGGTGCAGTGCATAGAGTGCCAGGCCCAGGGGCAGGAAAACTCATCTTCCTGAATTCAAAACCCTCCTCAGACTAGCTGCGTGACCCTGGGCAAGTCACTTAACCCTGATTACCTCAGTTCCTCATCTGCAAAATGAGCTAGAACAGGAAATAGCAAAACACTCCAGCATTTTTGCCAAGAAAACCCCAAATAGGGTCATGAAGACTCACACATGACTGAAACAACTGAGTAAGATGTAGAGGTGAGGAGGAATGAATTCTAGGGAGAAAGGGCAGCCTGTAAAAAGACAGAGACAGGAAATGGAGTATCCTGTGAGTTAAAGATCTAGGCCAATTTCACTGGCTTAGAGTGTGAATGAAGGGGAGTGAGGTGGAAAGGGTAAGCTAGGGCCAGATTATGAAGGGTTATGTCAAACAGAGGAGGTTGTATTTTATCCTAAAAGCAGGAGGAAACCTGCTGGGGCTTAGGCAGCTTTAGACCTGTGTTTGGCTGTTGTGTGGAAAACAATTTGGAGAGGAAAGAGATGACATGCAGGGGTACCAGTGAGGATATTGCAGTAGTCTGAGGTGAAAGGTCTTAGAAGAGGTGGTGGGAATGTGAGTGGAGTGATGTGATAACTGACAAGAGGGTCTAAAATAAGATTCAAGTTGGCATCATATAGAGGATGGCTCCAAGGTTGTGAACCTGTATGATTGGAAGAATAATGATGCCCTCAACTGAAATAGGGAAGTTTGGAGAACTAGGGGAAACACATATTGGACATGTTGAGTTTGAGAGGCCTAACCGAGGACATCTAGTTAGGTAGTTGGTGATGCAAAAACAGAATTTAGGAGATGAGGATTGAATATAATTTTCGGAGTCATAATTGAACCCATGGGAGTTGATAAGATCACTAAGAGAGAATGTAGAGATGAAAGTCCAGTACAGAGCCTTGGATTTTAATGACAGGTAGGGGAAAGGAGTATGGATGATGATCCAGAAAAGAGAGGGCACTGAATGTAGACAGCTTTTCCTAGGAGTCTGGCTGTGAAAGGGAGGAGAAATATAGGATCCTAGAGAATCGAATCCACAGAGTCTGGGGGCAGCAACGTATTTGGGCAGGTACAACAAATCAAAGCCTCAGCACAGCCCTGATGGAAATGAGAGGAACGGAGCTATGTCTACCTAGGTAAAGGCTGTGCCTTTGAATTAGACAAATTTAAGACTTTATGTAAATATTAGCTATTATTATTCTTTACTAAGTATATAACTACTCAGAAAGCATTGTGTTAGTACTTTCTGAGGCAAATGTCATCAATGGCAACACTCATAGCAAAAGCCTGCATACTTTGTCTGCGAGGTAAAATCCAAATGTTTTTTGGCATTCCCCATGTTTGGGGTTACCTACAAGCTTCTGTGACATGAACTCCACAGCTAGGTGGTGAATGCATAGAGTACTGGACTTCAAGTCAGGAGTCAGGAAGACCTGAGTTTGAATCTTGCCTCAGACGCTTATTAGCTTTGTGACTTGGCAGGTCCTATGGGATTCCTACACTTCAGTTTCCTCATCTGTAAAATGGGGATAAATAATAGCATCTACCTCCCAAGATGGTTATGAGGATCAAGTGAGATAACATGTAAAGTGCTATATAAATACTAGCTCTTATTAGATTTTATTATGTATTAAAAGTGTTGTGGGGCACCTAGGTGGTGCAGTGGATAGAGCTCTAGCCTTGGAGTCAGGAGGACATGAGTTTAAATCCAGTCTGAGACACATGATACTTACTAGCTGTGTGACCCCAGCAAGTCACTTAACCCCCGACTGCCTCACCATAAAAGAAAAAAAAAAGTTATTCAGCAGATCTGAGGCTATTTGAGCATCTCTTCTAGAATGTTTTTCACCCTGATAACTTCAGTGTCATTTATTTTGAGAGAGATGAAAAGCTGCAGATAAATTATGGGAGTCAAGAGTTTCTCTGGCAATGCGTGGTGTAGTGGAAAGAATCCTGGACTCAGGAGACCCAGGTTCTAGTGTTGGCTTTGACCCCAACTCTATGTATAATCATGGACGAGTCAGGTCATCTCTTGAAGCCTCAGTTTTCTCATTTGTAAAATGAGGGAGTTGGGTCAGATGATCTCAAAGGTCCTTTCTAGTTTTAATATTTTGGTTATGAGACAAAAATAAGTAATAACAACTTTAAAGATATTAGAATTATTTTATTTAATTGCATTTCATAAGGACTGATAAAGACACTTCCATGATTTAAGCAAATCTACATGTGATAATTAATAAAATCAGGCACTACAAATGCAGGCTTCTGGGTAAACTTCCAATGTAGCTCCTGGAAGATACACCTAATCTGGAGAGGAAAAGAGAAATTAAACAAATAATAATCATTATTTACTGTTGCTGAACATCACAATATGAAAACTTTATTTTATGTTCAAGAACCTTCATAAAAATGGAGGACTCCTCCTTAAGTATAACTTACCAATTCAGAACAATCCATTTACTTGTTCTGATACAGGATCCAAGTCAATGTCATAAAAACAGGGCCGAGTCGGGAGACCAGGCATTGTACTCATCTAAGGAACAAAGCAGAATTGCAAAAATGAGCAATCTAACCTTAACAACCCTCCCTCTACTTCCTCATATAGAACAAAGTCATATGGTGACTTTTCTCATTGTCAGTCAAGGGAGCAGACGTGACTAGTTATGGAACTTCCTGAAAGAAGCCATTAGCTATCACACCACTTAAAAAGTCTACATGATAAAATTAAGAATATTAGAGCTTGAAATAACCTTAAAGTTCATCAAGTCAAATGCCCTCATTTTTTACAAGTGAGGAAACTGGAGGGTCAGTAATCTAGGGTTTCACAAGTAGTTAGTAAAAGTCAGGGCTGTGATTCTGGTTTCTTTACTTTTAGTGCAATGTTCTTTTTATAACACTAGACTGACTTTTTGCTTTATTTTTATTTATTTGAATATTTTGGTAATGCCTTTTGCTTTCACAGAACATTAATTTCTGAATATATTCTCCCATCTACTTCTACTTTGCAAGCCTTTTCTTGTAATAAAGATGAAAAACAAAACAGAAACAGTTCATCAAAAGCAACCAACACATTCCACACTCCTATTCCTTCATCAAGGAAAGGAGGGAAGTATATTTTATCTCTTCTCTGGATCCAAGCTTGGTCATAAAATCCAATTTCATTTTACTTTCCATTTACACTGTTGTACTCATTATATATATTGCTTTCCTGCTTTTGTTTACTTTGTTCTGCACTGGTTCATTTGTGTTCTTCCATGTTTCTCATATTTGTCATTTCTTATGCCATAATAATATTCCATTACATTCATGTACCCCAGTATCTAGCCATTCCTCAATCAATGAGTACAGTTTTTGTTTCCAGGTCTTTGTGACCACAAGACCTACAGTTGGGAATATTTTGGTATGTAGGGGACTTTTCTTTTGGTCTTTGACTTCCCTGGTGTATATGCCCACCGGGGGGAATTTCTGGGGGGGTGGGGGAGACATGGATATTTTAGTCACTTTTTTCTGCATTATTCCAACTTGTTTTTGAGAATGGTCAGATCATAGGCTAAGGGTTTATCACGTGTGCCTTCCAGAAATGCTGTCAACATCAACTACAATTATATCTTTTGTTATCTTTGCCAATTCTGTCTCCTATTACTGAAAAGGAAAAAGACTGAAAGCCCTCCACTCTATATAAATTTGTAATTCTTATAATTAACCCAATTAGCATTAGACCTGTAAGTAAGACTGCCTTTCAGGTTTTCAGCAAAGTTAAAGAACTGGATTCATGAAATTGTTCTGTGTAATGGTTTCTAACATGGAAGTGAACAAAGACATCGGCTCAACGAGAGTTGAATAAGCAAAATCTGAAAAGGATTCAGTTGTCTTACTTAGTTTAAACAAAGTGGAATGAGAAGGGTAAAAGGTTTTTTTGTTCTTTCTTTCTTTCTTTTTTTTTTTTAAAGAATAGATTAGTTTCAGTAGGCAGCTTTTCTAATTTACTTCCAAAACTGAATATATACCTTGGCAATAATTCTTCAAGATTTATGTGTATCCAAGCAAAAAGCTTTTTTTTTTTTTTTTTTTTTTAAATAGAACATATAGTTTTACTGTCAATGTTCTTACTGGTTTAAAGTGAAGAGAAGCCATAACATAAATGCATTATTAAAGCATTGAGGTCTTTGCTTTTATTTCCATTTAATAATACCTTTTTTTGGTTGGGGCAGGGAAATCAGGTTAAGTACAAATCAAAATAGCTTGGCAAATCCAACTTCTACACAGTACATTTTGATTTTTATAATCTTTTGTATAATGACAAAATACGCAAGTGCTACTTTAAATATAGATCGAAAATAAGACATTTTAAGTGGAATTTCTTAAAACTGACAAGTGGAAAAACATACTTAAAGTTGAATGATCTTCTGTAATACAATGCAATTTAAAAACTGTATCACCTAATGTTGACATTTCTAAGCACAGCTAGGTCCTGATTACTGCTGATAATGAATCCCGTGAAGTGGTCACATGTATTTGAATTTGTACTATTCCAAGTTATAATTAGGTAAAATATGGTAATTGGTTCCAACTCAATGGAAACATGCAGTGAAAATTCAAATGATGAGACCACTCCATGGGATTCATTATTTGAACTAACTAGGATCTAATGGGATCAGCTATACTAATCAGCAATTCCTGAAACACAATCCAGGAACCCAAGAGTCCTCTAAAGTTAGCATCCAGTGCCAAATGTTATGACCAGAAGTTAAAGTGATATGAAGTTGGAGTTTAAGGTGAAAGGGGAAACAGGACCAATCAGAAAATAAAGCTGTAAAGATCAGCAATTATATGAAGACAGGAAAGACATAAAGATGTTACAAAAATAAAACTGAAAGAGAATACCTCCTATAAATGTCAAAACATGTAGCAGTATAAATGTTAAAACAATCCACAGGACTTTGTAAGGTACCCAAGACATCCCTCTGGTAAAGAGTTATCAATCTGTAGAATAAAGGACAGGAGCTCTAATGGAGCCACAATGGCTGGAAGAACCCTTTCTGGGAAGTCTGTTACTTGATATCTTCACTAAATGTTCCTAGGTGACAAGCAATTCAATAATGGAATTCTCTAAGTTGTTGCTAAGTATTGTACACATGTGAATTTTGGATACAAAATTACTGCTGATTCTGTATGTGTCCAAGCAGATGAAAAGTTTATTGTCAGTTATAGTCACTCACTACTCATTTAAGGTTTTAAAGTGTATTTGTTGCTACAGCTCTACTGACTTGGACATACGGGGCAAATGGTAAATCTGGACCAAAGGGCTGAGCAGGGTATTGTTACTCTTTCCCATCTGGCAAAAGGCTATTTTTACTGGTTTAAACCTCTTTTATTTTACGTCTTGATCTTTAATTCTCCATTCATATTTATATCTTATCTCTAACAATGCAAAATAATATAGTTGCAATAGTTTCATAGCTACTAAACTAAGTTACTTGAAAGGGAAAAATAAAATGCATTATTGAGGGTGCTTGCTATTTAATATTCTTATTTTAAAAGATGCTAATTTGAAGCAATTTGGGATTAGGTAAAAAAAAAAAAACAACTAAAATATTCATACCCTTTGATCCAAAGATCCCACTGCTAGGCATATACCCCAAGGTCAAGGGAGAAAGAAATTTCCCATATATAACTGACTGGAGAACGGCTAAACAAACTGTAGTACATGAACGTAATGAAATACTATTTATTGTACCATAGGAAATGTCAAATATAAAGATTTTTCACAGAATCAAGGGAAACCTTGTATGAACTGAAGGAGGAAGTAAGATGAAGCAGGAAAACAATATACAAAATGATCACAATATAAATAGAAAGAACAATCCACAAAACCGAATGCTATATAATTATAATGACCAAATTTGGCCCAGGAGAAGAGTTGAGAAAATGTACCTCTTTCATTTCATTGCAGAGGTAAAGAACAGCATATGCCGTCAGAAACAGTTAATATTTGGTTAGTTTTAATTAACTGCTTTCCCCACCCCCCCCCTAAATTTTTTTTGCTACAAAGAATAGCTTACTGAGTGGTGGGGAGGAGGGATACATTCAGAAATGAATGTGAGCAATTAAAATGATTAAATTTTATTTTAAAATCACCTTCATTTGTTAGTACAATTAACTGGCTTGAGCTATTAAGATGGGGGTTAAGCTTGTCAATTCCAGGAGAGGCATCAATACTATGAACACTGTTAAGATATGCCAATGTAAAAAATTCAATCATCTCTTCCATTAAAAGTTAATTTGTCTTCTAAAACACAACGACTTCTTACCTTTCACTTGTATAATTTAAGTTGACTTAAATATGTCAACTTTTTTGTACAATGTGCTTTATAAATGTTTCAAAGAACTGAATGTATGCTGTGTGGTACCCAAAGGCAGTATATTCAACTGTGAGACATCAGACTTGGTACACAGAAACGACAATTTGAACAAAGTTAGCTTGAAGCACAATTGTAAATCAGGACTGTGTATTAAGCACTCTCTTTCCCCTCAATCCCTAATCCCTTTTATAAAAAGTTCTCAACTGCTTCCAAGTTCGAAAGAATCAAGAAAACAAACACACTAAAATATAAGTAACTAATTTAATGCCTTATCCCTCCTGGGGTACCTACATTTCAACAGGCACAATTCCCCAATCCGAAGGAATAAAGTTCTAATGGTAGAATTTCAGACTCCTGCCATGAAACTCAGAGAGATATGGGTAGGGGGTAAGAAATGGAGCCTTCCTGGTGCTCCTAAATAATGCACCACACCTACTTCTTCTGTGAACAAGGCCCATCTTGAACTCAATCAAAGTCACAATAGAAGTGTGAACACTGGAAACACACTCCAGGTTACTATTCAGCAGAGGTAGTACTTGCATCAACTTAAATAACACCAAACAGTGTACCTCACCAGGATAAATCATTCTGATAGGTCTGATTCCCATTTTCTCCTCTGGCAACAATGCTTTTGCCCATTTAGCCACTTACTGGTGACCACAGGAATAAACTTAAAATAGGAAGCATAATTATGAACAACATACCAAGCATCATTTTCTGTGCAGCACTTACCGTCCCTACCAAAGGGTACAAAAAGCCAGCACCAACACTGGCCCGGATGTCACGGATTGGTAGAACAAAACCTGTGGGCACACCTTTCTTCTCTGGGTCATGAGATAAGGACAGATGCGTTTTGGCCATGCAGATAGGTAGGTTTCCAAATCCCTAGAGAGCAAGGAGGAAGGTAGGAAAGAATAACCAAGAAAAGAAATGTTTATATTAATTGAACAAAACAATCATTTAAGCACTATAACTGTAATGATCTTTACATTTCTTTCTAAAGCCAAATGACTTTAATTTCTTTTGTATTCATCTGGCAGGACAGAAATAATTTCCACCTCAATGACAAGTATCTTCTGTTTAGTTATCAAAGACTAAAAATATCTCAGGTACTAGGTTGGATGAGAGATTAAAACACTTAGAAAATGTAAAACACAGCTAAAGAGTTTTGTTTCAAGTATTCAAATGACATAGTTTGGAGCAACTGTATTGATAAGGCAAAAGATACAACATTTTACCAGTGTTTTCCATATTTTTCTGACACACATCCATAATACATAGTGTGCCCAACATGGAGAAAATCTGAACAACCTTTCAATCAAAGCACAACACTCTTAAGAAGGAAGACATTTCAGGGCAGAATTGACCAGGGGGTGAGGACTGATGCAGAGGAGGAAGGAGGGACTTCTCAAAGATGATCTCATCCAAGTCTCTCATTTTATAGATAAAAAACTGAGGCCCAGAAAAAACAACGACTTGCCCAAGGTCATATAGATACTGGTAAATCTGGAGCCAGAATTTCTAGTTCAATGCTCCTTCTGCTTTCTCATCAAAGTAGTAAAAAGAAGAATAAAAACCATAAACTCCTACCTGTTTTGTGTAGACTTCGACTTTATGCTGAGCCTCTGGCAATAATTCAACATCATCGGCTCCATAGATTTTCTGTGCAATTATCCTGATCTTGTCTACAACAGGGAGCTGAGGGGTGGGTGTATTGGTGAGGAAGGAGAGAGAGAGACAAGGGAATGATTGTCATGTAGTCACTTATAAGAACATTCACATACTGAAGACAGAATAAGGCACAAAATATTCCTCTTTTCCAGATGTGTCAGATTTTCCAAATACTGTTCTACTATTATAGACATTTCTTTTGATACTGAACACAGGAATCACAAGCATAGTAGATAGCATGGAAAATGCCCACCAGAACAGGGAAGGAAACATGGCTCTCTGTTGTCATAAGTGATGGAGAACTATAAATACCAAATGTTACATACAAATGAAGTGGCTTTGCTTAACTAGTTTTTAAAAAATTATTTCTTGGTGACAAGGAAAGGTTCTATGGGATGAGGGCAAGAGAGATTGGGGGAAATGTCTGTGGTGTAAAAAAGCCCCAAAGGCATCACTAAAACTTAAAAAATCCATCAGCACCCTCTTGCTTTTTATTACATCAAATATCACTGATGTAATAAATCCTAGCCTTCCCTGCCTGCCAACTGCCATCCATCATACTCACTCCATAGGTAAATTGTCTAAATCTGCCCTCAGGTGGGTACTTCTTGACCCTTCCAGTTATACACCTTGAGGCTAAGCCCCTAGGGATGTTGATAACCTACCAGAACTTACACCTCAATGATTAACAATCTCCATCCCACTATACCCTCCCCATCTCAATGATTCATTCCCCTCACTATTAAACCTTTTTTTTTCTGTCCCCAACTGACTTCTGGCTTACTCCCAATTTCCCTTCAATACCTGCCCCACACCCTTCCCAACCCCATGCAATGTCCCATTCTAAAGCTCTTCATCCCTTCCACTGTGCAATCTCGGGAATGCCTGCTCCATAAGTAACAAACTTGCTTTCACCTTAAAACCTTTCTTATCCCACTCCTTCCATCTTCTGGCTCTCACCAAGATCTGGCTCCCTTCTGATGACACAGATACCCTGGTCACACTTTTCCAGCACTGGCTGCAGTTTCACTCAAGCTAGAGGTGGGGGAGTTGGCATATTCCTTGCTCACCACTGCCACTAAGGTCTTCTCCTTTGAGGTTTACTCAATCCATATTTATCACCCCATCAAGATTCTGGAACCTGTTATCCAATCTCCAGGACATTTACAACTTCTTTTGTCAATGAATACAGTGCCTGGCTCAGTCTTTCTCTCCTGTCTTCATATCAATCTCTCAGCTCCTCAACTCCTTCATTCCCCACCTCAGCCACACACAGGGATCTTGATCTTGCCATTACCTACAATTATTCCATTTCAATGTTCCCAAACTCTGAAATTCCCATATCTGATGACATGTGTTGTCATTTCACCTCTCCCTCTCCTATGCAACCCCAAATCTGTTCTTCATCTTTACCACAATTCCCAATCCCTCCACCCTTCTTCCCAGGACATCTCCCCTGAGCTGGCTATACTCTCCTCCCTTCTCCATCACGACCCCTTGGTGAACCAGTTGTGTTCTCTGGAGGCCCTGACAACCCTCAGCCTTGGATTATTCCCACTATCCACGACCTTCTCTCTTATTCACATGCTAAAGAAAAATCACAAAACTGTGCCAACTGGGTCCACCACAAATTTAGATCACATAATTTCAACTAAGCCCTCACTGCAGCAAGACAATATTTTTACTGCCCTTTATCCCTAACGACTAACTCACCACAGTGGCTTTTCTATACTTTTGACCCTTCTTCAAACCTCTCTTTCATGGCTTTCCTCTCCCCACCTTCCTAAGTTTGAGACCTCTGCCTCATATTTTCCTAAAACAAAACAAAACAAAAAATACGTCATTTTCCAAGAGCTTCCTCTTTTTCCCTCCTCCTCCTCCTCCTCTTACATCACTCGGACGCCTTTGGATCCCATTTCCTTCTTCATCCCATCTCACATGAAGAGGGGGTGTTGCTCCTTGCCAAGACAAACCTCAAAAATGATTCTATTGCTTCTCATCTTCTCCAGCAGACTGCTTCCCATTTTACTTATCTTCAATCTTTCCCTTTCTACTGGCTTCTTCCCTACTGCTTACAAACATGCCCATGTCTTCCTTCCATCCCTGCTAGCTATCACTCTATCTCTCCTCCAGTTTGTTCTTCCTTGAGAAGGCTGTCTACAATTGGTGCTTCTTCTTCTTTTCCTTACATTCTCTTCTTAACTCTCTACAGTCTGTCTTCTGACCTCATTAGTCAACCAAAACTGCTCTCTCCAAAGTCACCAATGATGTCTTAATAGTCAAATCTAATAACTTTTTCTCAATCCTCATCCTTCTTGACTTCCTGAAGCCTCTGACATTGTAGCCCTAACCTTCAGACTTGCATTTCCAATTGCCTCTTGGGACATCTCAAACGAGATGCCCTGCAGACATCTTAAATTTATCATGTTCAAAACTAATCTTTCCCCAAGCCCTCTACTTCATATATTTCCTCTGACTGTGCAGGGCACTATCATCTTCTCAGTCACCCAAGTTCTCAACCTAGGTGTCATCCTTGGCTCCTCACTTTCTCTTAACCTCACCTGCTCCAGCACCCCCATTCAATTTGTTGCCAAGGCCCATTGATTTTACCTTTGTAACATCTTTTGCATATACCCCCTGTATGAAAGTAAGCCAGAATGGGAACATGGCCTATGACTCCACAAAAAAAATGTAAACTACATTTTACATGTAAATGTAAAAAGCAAAAGAAGTTCCAGCTATCTCATGGGAAAACTTGCACGTAACTCTGGGCCATCCTGGCATTATGCTTTCTTTGTTCTATTTCTATATAATAACAACTGACCTGGCCTTAGGTTGGTTTGGGGATCCATATTACTTTGTCCTGCTGTGACCCGGGACAACTGACCTCTTGTGAGTAAACTCCCTTAAACAACCCAATCAACCCTAATAAAACCTATTAATTGCCAAGCTGATATGAGCCCCTCTTTTTTTTGGTATCGCATTATTCTCTCGAAGGGAATGCTACCCTACAACTGGCATAATCAGGGCAGGAAAGTGTGTCCCCTTATACTTCTTTCTTTCCTCTGACACTGCCACCATGCTGGTGCAGGCCTTTATCACTTCATGCCTAGACTGCACTGCAGAAGCCTTTTTCCTTGGCTCTCCTTCCTCATATCTCTCCCCTCTCCAGTCAAAATGATTTTCCTAAAGTGCAGGTCTGACAATGCCACTCCTCTTACCCCCCTCATTCAATAAATCCTGTTGGCTCCCTATTACCTCCAAAATCAAATACAGAATCATTTGTTTGGCATTCAAAGCCCTTCATAACCTAACCCCCTCCTACCTTCCCAGTTTTCCTACCCCAGTGCTTAGCATAGTTCTTGGCATATAGTAGAAGCTTAATAAATATTTGCTGATTTCATTTTGACCTAGAATGTGTTCTTTTGACATGCTTTATCCTTGACCTTTTCTTTCTCTCCTTCACTGACTGCACCCATTCCCATGGCTTTAAGTCTGTCTAGGTCGGGACAGCCAGCCCATAGCTGCCCGAGGGACAGCTTCACCTGGATTTATTAACCCAAGTATGTCAAGCTTAACATATCCCAAACTAAACTTATTTTCTCTATAAACCTTGATCCTCCTCCCAATTTTTCTTACCTCTGCTTAATGACATTCTCCTAGTTGCCCAGGAGAGAGATCTCAGTTATTTTCAACTCCTTCCTCCTCATTTCCCACATTCAATTAGTCACTAAATTCTTGTTGATTCCATCTCTGCCATGCCTCTCATATGAGTCTCTTCTGTTTCATTCACATGACTACTACCCCAATTTAGGTCTTCATTTCTTCTCAACTAGGTTCTTGCAATAGCTTCTAGTCTCTACCCACCACTTTAATTCATCATATACAGTAATCCCAGAGTACATCTTCTCAAAGGATAGCTTTGATCCTATTGCTTTGCTGATTAAAGAAAATAAAAGCAAAAACACACAAAACATTAAATAAAATCTCAGGTCCTTATCCTTGAATGTCATACTTTCTACAATCTATGACCTACTATTTTTGACCTTATTTCCCATTAATGTCTTAAAAGGATTACAAATTAGCCTTAGGGGTCATCTAGTTCATCTCCCTTATATTACAGATGAAGACAAAGAATGATTAAGTGCCTTGTTCATGGTCATTTGGCAGAGCTAGGATTCTTCTGACTCAATATCTAGTGCTCTTTTCTAGTATACCAAAATGGCTTCTAGAACAAAATATAAACTTCTTCTGTTTAGCTTTTTTTTTTGTTTCTGGTGAACCAATAAGGGTTAAGTGACTTGCCCAGGGTCCCACAGCCAGGAAGTGTCAAGTATCTGAGGCCGGATTTGAACTCAGGTCCTCCAAGCCCGGAGCTCTATCCACTGCGCAACCTAGCTGCTCCCCTGTTTAGCTTTCAACCCTATACAATCTGGCCCCAATTCACCTTTCCAGCCTCACTGGACATTAGTATTCTCTATTCCTGTCCTCCGTGATCCAGCCAAAGTGACCTTTTCCTCTATTCCTTACTCATGACACTCTATTTTTTGTCTTTGTGCTTTTGCCCAGGCTGTGTGCCCCATGCCTGCCATGCACTCCTCATTGATACCTCATAAGTGGATCTGTTTTCCTTTAAGGTGTAAATCAGACAGCATCTATCTTCTATGTAGTGTTGTCCCTCCCAAACTACCTTGTATTTAACTACGTATATACATATACATGTAATAACTTCATATTTATACTGGGTATATTTTGAAATGTATTTGTTGTGTCCCCATTGGAATGTAAGCTCACTCCAGGTAGGGACTTTCATTCTTTGTGCTTGTATCCCTAGATACAGAAATGTTATTAAAACAGATGAGTCTCATGGTAGCATCTCTATAAAGGTTGAAAGCATGACATTAAACTGTAATTCAATGAAGGCATTTCTGTAAGTAGTCGTTTAATAAAGCATGGTCAAAACAAGACAGACAGAGATCCAGAAGTCTATGGAGGATTAAGGTAAAACAACCATTTAACTAAAGGTTGAGAGGCTGATGGGTTCTTGCTATTCCTTTCACCCCATCACCACACCCATATGGCACTATATTATCAGTTACTATTCTCTTAGCTTAATGAGGTTTCTTGACACAGAAGATGTTGATTACTGCATTCAGAAGAAAAAGGAAGTACAAATAAAAAAATAAGAGAATTTCTCAACTCTCAACATGGTTTCTTCCACCAAAATGTCCTACACAAGTATCAAATCTCAAAGTCCATGGTGGAGAAAATGAATATCATCACCACCAATAAAAACCCATATAAAAGATCTAAGGAGGGCTAAAACATCATTCTTATGTCCCAAACCAAGTTGCTGGTTATTGGTCTTGTTTTATATCCAGTAATATTCTGAAATATCCAGAACGCAGGATTGAAAACAAACAAAACAAACCGCTCTGTGAATTAAGCTTATTTCGTTACAGAGTTTATGCTACAAGAACACAGTTCCTGGGCCTGAGCAAATTTAATTTTCTCACTAATGTCAAAAGTGATCAAATTCTGTGGAGGCAATTCTATTCTGCACCTGAGGGTTTCACTGAACTCTTGAGATATGGATACATCAGGAGGTGAACTGAAAAGTATACAATTCCTTCCCATGTTAGGCTGGTGGTAAGAAAAAGGTTTTCTATTTTTTAAGCTGCCCCTGTTTGGCCACAGCTACTCATTCTGTCTGCCAGTGGGTATGTACGGCATATGAGGTCCTAAGGTCTTACTAAGTACAAAAGACTGAGCTCTAAACATGACTCTAGGAGAGAAGAGCCCTGCTGTAATGGACTATGTGAATAGCAGAACGCCTGTTAGTGGCACAACTGTTTCCCCACGCTGACCTGCTGAATTACTGTTTTAGTAGCAGGGATGGAGATCATTTGATCCATCTACTTCCTTCCTATTTTCTGCCACCTGAATAGCAGAGTACATTTACAGGACAGCTAGCTGGGAGTCGGGTGCAGTGTGCGCCCATGGAACAGGGAACAACCTGGTCCACATGGGGATCACGGGATGAAGTTAGCAACGTTAGCACGATACTTGTAACCAATGCTCTTACCACCCTTCTAAGTCATCTGCATAACGATGATGTAATGTGAGAACACAGAGAACAGCCGAGCACCTCGGACAGAGCCCAGTTGGTCAGTCATGAAGAACCTCGCTCACCTCCACATCATAGAGGAGCTGGAAGTGACTTGGTGCCTGTGATGCATTCTGGACAGCGCGAGCGAGGGCAGCAGCTCCCTTTCCCCCTTCTGCCCAGTGAGTGCACTTCACAGCATCAAAGGCTCCAGCCGCCTTAGCCAGACGGACAACTAGCTCCACTTCTGCCTCAGTATCACTCCTGTAAAGACAGCAATCACATAGCCTCCATTTTAGGATACAACTAAGATCGTCTTTATGCAGGTCAGACTTTCGCCCATACTTTAGGATGTAAGCTCCTTGAAGGTAGAGATAGTCTTTCTTTTTTACTTCTATTTGGATTCTCAGTCTTGGCATAGTGCCTGGTACGTAGAAAGTTGTTGGGTTTTTTTTTGGGGGGGGGGTATGGGTGGGCCAAGGGGCGAGGCAATAAGGGTTAAGTGATTTGCCCAAGGTCACACAGCTAGTAAGTGTCAAGTGTCTGAGGTCTTCCTGACTCCAGGGTTGGTGCTCTATCAACTGTGCCACTTAGCTGCCCCCATAGTAAGCTCTTTATTAACGCTTCTTGGCTGACTACTAGATGTAAATTATTAAAAGGGATTAACTGCTACTAAACATAGTAGAGATCTATGACACAGACTTGGGAGATGACAAAAGCCAAATAACTTCTGTGAAATATAATGACAAACTCTAAATCGTATGATCCTACAACAGATCTAGTGCCAGAAGGGCCCTCTGCTACTAGGCATAGCATCAGTACTTGAATATTCATTTAAAGAATTGGAGACTGATGGTTAAGTAACAGCACAGGAGCATCACTCCTTCCTCCACATCACTAATACAAAGGGACAACTTTACAGCTAAATTCTATCTTAGAGCTTCAGCTGAGACAACAGCCTTCATCTTTTCCATTCATTGGGAGAAGTTTAGCTCTGCAGAGCAAAGGCTCTGCATAATTAAAAAAAAAAAAAAAAGCAAATCACTCCCTCCCTGGAGCCTGGTGATAGGAAAACTGAGACAGAAAGACGATATAATTAATCTACATGCTTCAAGGTAGGTTATTCATTCTTGCCTAAATACTAGGTTCAGGGTTTCTACACCCGTGTCTTTTATTCTCTTTCGTTTGGGCATATATTAAACCTGACCTTGTGGCAAAATAAAAAACCATTATGGTGAAGACATCCTGATAACCCCAATATGACCTAAGGCAGGATACATCAACCCTCCTGAAGGCGTTTTCCATCACCCAATCTGCTTGCTTTGACATGAGTATCTGTGCCCAAAAAAGGCAGTCAGTTCCTTCTCAGAGAGTCAGATCACATCCAACAAAACTGCCAGTGAGAACCCCCCAAAATAGCCTAGCAACCAACCCAACAAGAACAATTCACACTTGCATAGTACTTTAAGGCTCAAAGTGCCTTCCTCACAACAAATGTGAAATATAATATATATGTGAGATATAAATGCAAGTTATCATCAGTCCCATTTTATATCACACAAACAACTCAGTTACATTTCAGGGCAACTTTGTTTTTTTTTTTTAATACTTGGGTTTCCCCATGTCAACCAGGCTGGAAGGAAGTACAGAGGCTATTCACCTGGCTATAGGCCAGGTCCCACTACTGATCATCATGGGAGCTTTGACCTGCTCCAGTTTGGTCTTCCTTAAGCAACCTGGTGGCACCTGGCTCCTAGAGGCTCACCACATTCATGCCAAACTTAAGTGTGGACATTAGCTTAGCCTATTGTAGCTCACTCCTGAGCTCAAGAGATCCACCAGTCTCTCACCCTCCTGGTAGCTGGGATTACAGTCGTGTGCCCCTACACCTGGCAATTTTCTTTCTTCATTGACTTCTCTTTCCATTTACCTGAATGCATTCACAGCCACTACTACTGGAATGCCAAATATCTTGGCATTTTGAATTTGTTTGCCCAAGTTGCAAAAGCCTTTTTCCAACAGCTCCAGGTTCTGTAAAAGAGTGAAAAATGTTTTATGAAGGCAATAAAAGTACTGCTGAGGTGGCAGAACTGCCTTCTTTAAAAGTGCCGCATTATACAACTACCACTCCAGAAACAAAACAAGTTGCTCTGATGACTGAAAATGAAAATAATGATGGTTCTGTACAGGTGAAGTCACAACCAAAGTCCTTTATTCATATATGGATACTGTTCAGTTATTTCAATTGTGTCTGACTCTTCATGACCCCATTCGCGGTTTTTTGGGCAGAGATACTGGAGTAGTTTGCCATTTCCTTCTCCAGCTCATTTTACAGAAGAGAAAACTGAAGCAAACAAGATTAGATGACTTGCCCAGGGTCACACAGCTAATAAGTGTCTGAAGTCAGATTTGACTCATGAAAGTGAGTCTTTCTAACTCCAGGCCCAGTATCTTCTGTGCCACCTAGCTCATATGTGTGTGTACGTATATTATAAATACATTATATATAATACACATATGTAATAATACATTATGAACACATTATATGATAACACACAAATATACATATATGTATATGCATATATTGAACCAGAAGCAGAGCAGTTATCACACTTGGGTTCCTGAAGAAATTGTATGTGCTTTCACCTTTAAATGAAATGCCCATCACAGGTTTCTCAGAGTGACTTGGATGACAGCAATATAGCCTGACCCCTGTCAGAAAATGTGTCTGACAAATTTTCCATACCTTGGTTCCATTTCTGAAGAGTGTTGTTCATACTTAATGAAAACAACTTAAGAGGAAGAAAAAAAAATCAAATTTTGATTGGAATTTTTTTCCCCCAAATATACGGGCACTCAATTTGTCAATATTGACTGAGGATGAAGATTCAAATGTAGAGCTTTGCTAATGAAGACATAAATTGAAGTGGCCAGGGTGGTCATTCTAATTGAGGAAAGAAATCTGTGGAGAAGCAGGAGGGCATAAATTTACTTCCTACACTTCAAATTTACAAAATAATCATAAAAGACAAATTCAAGCTAATAAGATTGACCCAAGGTTACAACAGATTTTCAGTGGCTTATTTCCATTGTTCCAAATGGAATCGGGATGTAAAATTGAGTAGTTAGATGACTGCAGAAACTCATTACAATGCAAAGAACTGAAGACCTGTGACAGCAGCTGACTGCCCTCTTCTCAAACAAACCACTTCTAAGTAAACATTCCAGCTTGCTTCTGGGAAAAAAAAATTTTTTTTTGAGAGGCAAGTGGCTAACAGAAATATAAACTGTAGTCAGGCTTGTGCTTCACAAACTTTTTTGAGGGGTGGGGAGGCCTCCTTGTTATTATAAATGGAAAAATCATAAACACAGATGGATTTTTTAAAAAAATGTCTGTTTCTGTGTTTTCTGTCCCAGGCAAAGATACTGAAGTGGTTTACCATTTCCTTCTCCAGCTCACTTTACGGATGAAGAACTGAGGCAAACAGGGTTAAGTGACTTGGCCAGGGTCACACAGCTAGTAAGTGTCTGAGCCTGCATTTGAACTCATGTCTTCCTAACTCCATGCCCAGCACTCTATCCACTATGCCACCTAGCTGCCCATAAGTTCAAATCTACAAAAGAATATATATTTTTTAAAAGAGCTAACATTTTTAAAGGACTCCACTTTGGATCAGCCCACACTCCAAATGGAGGAGGACCATGACAGGTAACTCATACATTTAAAACCATTGATGTATGGTAAAAATAATAACTAATATTTGCATTTTATGACATTTCATGTCTTTCCTTGCAATACGCCTTGTGAGATTGAGAGTACAATTGCTATGACCATTTTACAGACGGGCAAACTGAGGTTCAAAGATGTAGAGCAACATGCCCACAGTTTTGCACTTACTAAGTACAGAGCTGGGGTTTGAATTTGAGTCACCTGACTCCACATCTAGTGCTTTTTCCAAAAACAGACAGTCTAGGATTCATGCTTAAGATTACCTCTTCTATGTAATCCTTTGGTAGAGGTACTCCAGCAGTGACCTGGATGGCGGAAGGGGAGAGGAGGGGGAGAGAGAAAGAGAAACCAAACATCAGTAAACTGAAGCATTTTCCATATATGACTTTATTTTAGCTTTTAAATATAGGTCCTTACTCCCAAAGACATATATTTTCCTATCTACAACCTTTTACTAGTTTTCACAGTTATTTGGCACCTATCTTAAATGCCTCACCATGGTGTGGCGGTGCTCTGAATTCTAGTATGAACCCAGCAACTCTATGTTCAGAGAGATGAATCATTAAAGGGGTTGGTCAGTTGATAACTGATTCTTTGACCACATCAACTCAAAAATAACATTTAAGGAAAAAAGAAATCACGGCAGGAACACGTACGCCATTGAAATCAGGGGTAGGAAAGTGCTGAAATAAGTACTGATAAGTAGAAATGGATAGCAGTAGTATTTGTTGAGCACCTCTTATGTTTTAAGGCACCAAGCTAGATCCTCAGGGGAACACAAGGTAGTACATGATGAAATCTGTGCTGTGAAGCACATGCAGTCTAGCTGGGAAGACCTATGTGCATAAAGAATCAAACAATATGACAAGAGAGACGGAATATACTTGTTATATGTTCACAAGGGTGAAACCAATGGGCTAGATTAAGGAAACTATCATGGAAGAGGTAGAAGTGGAAAGATATGTGAGACTTGGACTCACACAGATAGAAGCAGGATATCACTCAATGCAGGACAAATAACATGAGCCAGAGGCATGGTTGTGGGTGACCCAGTCTGACTGCAGAGAGCTACAGTGAAGTAATAAAAGAATGATCAGAAAGTGAGGTTGTGGGTCTTACTGGCACATGGAGACCTTGTGTTCCATGCTAAGGAGTTCATACTTTTCCCTGTGAACAACATAGGCCTTTTCTTCCCAACTACACTAAGCTATCTGAAGACACAGGAAAACTAACAAATGGAAGTAGCCTGACATTTCATGACACTTATATCAGTACTGTATGACTAACACAAACATGTCAGTTGCCTGAACGAAGCTAGAAATTAGCATGTGTTTAGAATAAACATAAGTAAAAAAAAAATGCAAGAATCAATGAGGAGGCAGGAGGGCTATCTTTTCTGCAGGGTACCTTCAGTCAAAGATTAAGGTTCCAAAATCAAATGATCAAAATGCTCATTTTCTTATAGAACAATTAATTTGCTACTAGAAACAGCTGTCATCAATATGTATCATCAAGATACCATTACTTTGCTTTCTCTGGATTTTTACTACATTTTGGTACATAAAAAGAATTATCTGGTTGTAGTCTCTTAAGATGTGTAACTGAATTCTAAACTCTGTCTTATACTTATTTGCTTGTCAAGTCAACAAATCAATAAGCATTTATTAAGTCTATACCATGTGCCAGGCACTGTGCTAAGCACTGGTGATACAAAGAAAGGCAAAAATCAGGCCTTGCTCTCAAGGAGTTTACAGTCTAACGGGGAAAGACAATATGCAAACAACAATGCACAAACAAGACAGACAAGATAAATCTGAGATAATCAGAGAGGGAAAGCAGTAGCAGTAAGGGGTCGTTGATAAAGCCTTCTTCCAGAAAGTAGGATTTTTGCTGGGACTTGGAGGAAGCCAGGAAGGCAAAAAGCAGAATTTAGGAAGTAGAAAATTCTAGACATGGAAGACATGTCCAACTCTTCATGACCTCACTTGGAATTTTTTTGGCAAAGACAGTAAGAGTGGTTGTCCATTTACTTCTCCAGTTCATTTTACAGAGGAGAAAACTAAGGCAGACAGGGTTAAGTGACTTGCTCAGGGTCACACAGCTAATGTGTCTGAGGTCAAATCTGAACTCAGGAAGACGAGTCTTCCTGACTCTAGGCCTGGCACTCTATCCACTGCTCCACCTAGCTGCCAAAAAGATGAAGTGTCTTGTGTGAAAATAGCAAAGAGGCCAATATTGTTGGATTACAGAGAATATGGAAGAGCACTAGAAAGGTAGGAGGGGGCCAGTTTATGTGGGGTTTATAATGCTAACCAGAAGATTTTATATTGATTCTGGAGGTGAAAGGGAAACACTAGTTTACTGAGTAGGAGTATATGTGCATGCACATGTGTGGTGGGGGTGGTGACATGGTCAGACTTAGTCTTTTGGAAGATCAATTTGACATTGATGGACTGGAATAAGGGAGACTTGAGGTAGAGAAACTTTATTCTGTTGTAAGAACAGTACCCTGTACGTAGATGTAAAGCACAATGATTTACAGATTGACTCAAAGGTAAAACAAGTCTCAGAGGAATAAAAGTCTGCACACATACATAAGTGTACAGAATTCCATGCACGAAGGACTTAGGAAAAAAAAAATTTAGACCTATAGCTTTTTAAATCTACAGCTTTTTGATAAGTTGTACTATCAAGCAATTTGAACTCTAATGGACCAGAAATCCTAATACAAGGTGGAAGCAACTGCGATAATTAGCCTATTTATGAAAAAACTTAGGAAAGACAAAAAAATCATGGATTTACAATCATGGAGATCACTCAGTCTAACTCTCTCACTTTATAGATTAGAAAACCAAGACCCTGAGAGGGTGAGTGATTTGTCCAAAGTGATACAAGTAATAAGGAGCAAGAGAAAGGCATCAAAAAGTCCAACCATTTTCAAGTATTTCAAGGGATTAACATTATTCTTCTTAGTCCCATGGGCAGAAATATGACCATGCATGGAAAAACTTCCTAACTACGAATAAGCTCTCTGAGACAGTGTTCTCCTCCTTCAGTGGAGGTCTCTAAGCCAGGGTCGGATGACTTACTTGTTAGATATTGTAGAGGGTCTTTTCTTTTCCCATATGGGTGGGGCTATATGGTCACTGAGGTCCCTTCCAACTCTGAAATTCTGTGTACTCTCTCTTTAAGCTGGGGTAGGCAACTTGTAGCACAGGTGTCTTCAGTGACTGTTACTCTGCCACTCCCCAGCATGTCTGTCTGTCTGTCTCTCTTGCTAAACCTTCTTATTTCTTCTTCCTCACCTGGATCTTAGGTCTGCTAGTGGTACCCATCAGCTATTGAGAAAATGGAATCAAGGAGAATAGCCTGGGCATAAATGAGGCGTTTCTGATTTATTGTAACAGTCTTAAGGGTGATCATACGATTGCACCAAATCACTTAGGCTAAAGAATCTGAGTTTAGATTTGGCAAGGTAAGCCTAGGAATCTTTTCTAGGAGAGCACTCTATGAAGTCAGATTCAAAGACCCATCAGGTAAGAGATTTGTCACATTTATCTCAATCACTTCTGAGGACATCCAACTTTAGTTAGTGAGATTTTTTGGTTAAAAATTATTCCCAAGGAACTTTGTACTATGAAAGGGTAATCTTTTTTTGTCATCTCCGTCCTTTTACTCATTTGAACACAAGATTCTGTTTATGGTCAAAGCTGTTTTCTATGAAGTCTCATTTGTTTTGTTTGTACCTGATCTAAACACCAGTCCCAGTTTATTTTTGGTCATCTTTCCCATTTCTCCCACTTCACTAAAGAAACAGTTTTAGTGTGAAATAACATCCATTTCTGTGTAAACCATTAACTTTGAAGACAAAATATTCCTTTGGAATTAAATAACCCATGTCTCATTTAACACAGTGCTATTTTATCTTGCATTTGCTCCCTTATACACAAGTTACTAATAGGGATGAGGCCCCCTCCACGTGCGCATATGCGCGCACCTACACACACACACACACACACACACACACACACACACACACACACACA